CTAACTATTATTTATTGTGTTATGTTAGACTTTTTGTTATGGTTTATATATTATTAGATAATAATGACAACTGTAAATGCCTGTTAATGCATACTATACGAAACTATTAAATATTAAACTNAAAGTCTTTGACTGTATGTCACACGACATCTTGGTTAACAAACTAAAGCGTGTATATAATTTTAGCAACCTAAGTTGCGCATTAATCCAGTCATACTTAAAAGGCAGGAAGCAATGTGTGTTATACAACTCTAGAATTTCGGAAGCAATACCTGTTACACTTGGCGTACCCCAAGGGTCAACACTTGGTCCTTTATTATTTCTAATGTATATAAACGACATGTCATCTGTTTTATCACCATCTACTCGTTGTATATTGTACGCGGACGATGTTACGCTCACTTGCAGCAGTAAGGAGTCGAATATACCCTATGCTAATATCGAATTGGATATTAAAGCTCTCGAACGCTGGTGTGCAATTCATAACTTGGAAGTTGAATTCTGATAAAACGTCAATTATTTGTTACTCATTACGTAAACAGAATGCAATCAATGTTTCTGGTCGCACTAGTGGCTCTTTTCTGGGGTGTGTAATTGATCGGCGTCTCAATTTTAATACGCATTGTGAAAATTTATGCAGACAAGTCAGCAAATCATTATATTTATTAAGAAGATTAAAGGACATGTCATCTTTTGCAGTACGAAAAAATGCCTACTTTGCTTTGGTACACAGCAAACTCACTTACGCTATTTTAGCCTGGGGACATTGTGCGTCATGGAAATCGGTTTTCAGACTCCAACGTAAATGCATAAGAACCTTGGCTAGTTTAGGACATCGGGACGATTGCCGTAACAAATTTGTAGAACTGAATATTCTAACATTACCCTGTGTATATATTTTGGAATCGGTTCTTTATGCAAAGGCTAACATGTCAATGTACAATTTTCATTCCGAAGTACATTCCTATAATACTCGCCAGAAGGACAATATTAAAAAAAAACTACTGTCGCTTAACTACCTCACAAAATGGGGCAATTTATCAGGCCCAAACACTTTTCAACAGTATCCCGTTCTGTATTAGGCACTTAAGTCTAAAATGGTTTAAAAAGAAAGTTAAAACATTCTTATTGGCAAATGCCTTTTATAGTTACGAGGAATATTTGAGTGCAGTTGAGAATTGGAATTTGGAAGTTTAAGACGTGTTGCTTGTTTTATAACTATTATTGTGTTATGTTAGACTTTTTGTTATGCTTTATATATTTAGATAATTAATGACAACTGTAAATGCCTGTATATGCATACTACAGGAAACTATTAAACTATTAAAAAGTAGAATTTCTTATTATTTTCGTTTTTTGTAAAGCACAGTTTTCGGTAATAGCTACAATCAATTAATCAAGCAGTGATGAGTGACAGTTACCTGTTTTTATTTTCTAACAAATTGTTACTTTTTCAACACTACACAGAGAGTTTTCTTGACCGCAACCAATATATCATTCATAAGTTCGGGGTAGTTTACAAATAAGCGGAGTTCGAACAGAGACTCGATAAATTTCTAATTATTGCCAGAATAACAATTTAATGCTTAGAAATTTGGAAACAGCATTGAATGAATTAGTACGTGACAGTTACTTCCGACATGTAAAAAGTGCCGGATGTTTCGATATCTGCTTACATTTATGAAAATATGTAAGTTTATGATCCGTGAACATAATATTGCACAACACATCCAATTTAATGACAGTGACTACAATTAGGGAGCACTGCGCTCGTTTCCACAAATTGGTCGGCGGAAGTGCATGGGAGACATTTACATTTAGCCGTAGACAATTGCATAGCAAAGAAATCAATCACACTGCGGATTTTATCTGGGTCAAAAGTTCAACATCTGATCAGTACAAACAACTGATAATAGAGTACCTTGTGCACTTGTAAAATATTATCAAAAGAGAACTACTCCGTAGGGAAATTGAGCTTTTAGCTGGGAATATTGCTCAGCGGCAAATCCGATGACCGCATTAAATTTTTATAATCAGTTGGCCGCGCCATAATTTATGACATTTCCTACATTTATAATGACCCTCTGTGGTTAAAGTTACCCTCTTATGGACCTAAACTGTTTTACATTATGTGGGGTTAAATCAGCAAATTCTCGTTGCCCAACTTCACTGTTATAATTCTGAAACTTGGTAATCTTCTTACATTGTTCTTGCTGTAGTTTATGGCGTGCTTACCTAGGCGTTATGCATAAGTGTTTCAACAAATTTATTTGCATTTCTACTGAATGGGTATGTGCCTTTAAAAATGAAGCTTCGAGTAGTACGATCAAGCACTAGTATCAAAATGCTTTTCACAACAATGATGGCTTGATAGTTCATTTAAAAGTTTTTGTTTGTATTCCTGCACAAAAGCTGTTTAGGAAGTTGTATGTGGATAAAGCCAAATAGAGCAAAGCCACTTCCTACTTCACATATCAATCAACTGCGATTGAATTCAAATGTCATCGCTTCGAATGACAGCAAGAGCATTTTTTTTACTTATAGCGGTGGGATAATTTTCAATAAAGAAATTTCACGGCCTTTATTTCTTTAACGTATAATTATTCCATTCCAATTATTCGCCCAATTATGAAGTAAAGTTCAAAGATAAACTTCATTAGGCGAATTTCTGCTCGTTAATCTGAACTATTCCGTTCCCGAAAGGCCGTTGCATTGAAACGTAATAATGCGTACCGTCAGACCTATATAATTTGATATTCAGGAAGATTTCGTCGGGAAGACAATTTATTTTTATTGAAATGTATGGAAATAAATATAAAAAGGAGCGTTTACTTAAATCTTTTGTGTAAAATGAAGTTGGGGAATTACGAAGTGTCTGCGTAAATGTGACAAAATGGAACCAATTGAAAGGATTCAATGACTGATTTCGGAGAAATGAATAATGTAATTTGAATTAGATTCTGTTGTATATTTACGCGTCCCATTCATGGCATGAAAGAAAGTTACACGTTTAGAAATGTTCAAGAACTAGACCATCGTATTCAGAAATATTTAAATCTAAGGAGAATATCTTGCTACTATTCCCTAAAGGTAGGTAGATATCGGTAGCCGTTAGCGTAACCATTTCATTTATAGGATTTCTAATTTGAAAACCCTCCGAATAGTGTGACAAACCGACAAACGAATATATTTTAAACGGCGAGGAAAGTACCACTGTAGTATTTTAATATGTGGTAGGTACCACGATCAGTCGGTAGATTTTGTAGTTGGCAATTACATGGAATCGGTATCTCGAGAACAATAATATGTCGAAAAATGACCCAAAACATTTTTTAATTTGAATGGATATTTATTAAACGAAATATTTAAAATTGTTTGTTTTTTTGGTTTTTTTTATTATTAAATATATTGTTATTTAATACCTACCACAATCTGACTGTTTACAACTTTTTTTACGACTTCATAAATCATAGTTTTAGAATGTGATGTCATCCTAAAAAATTTTAGATGGCAACCTATTTGTTAGCAATGTTATATAGGTAATATTTTGTTTTCTCTCACGTATGTGGACTTATCTTAAAGAAAAGCAAATTATTTTATTAAAACTATTAAATACAATATTTTAATAACTTTAATTTAATAAAAGATCTTCAAACTGTTCACCATTAACCGTCAGACAATGAGCTATTCTACTGGAAAACCCTCGTACTACATTCTGAAGCTGAACCGTGTCAGCTGGTATTTCTTGTATTTTTTTCGAATACGAGTTTTCAGTTTTCCTAGCATAACGCAATGTAAAGGCGTTGAGTTATTTAAAATGGGCCATAGCAAAATTTAAATTGCGCAAATTGTTCTCAAATTTTGGCCTTGCGCTTAGTTATTTCACTTAATATAGTTGAATTCTTCTCCGCCAGGGGGCTAGTTTTGACACTATGATCCAAAATCCTAAAAAAATAAAATAAATCGAATGGAATTATATGACTTTTTTTATGAAAAAGTAGCCAAATAACACCCAAAGAGGCCAGTGAAAACCGTTTTTCAAGATCTCTTTCCTAACCTCAAATATTGGGAAAATGAGATTAATTAATTAATAAAAATGCTTAAATCTTATTTGAGGTGTTTCCGGTATTTGTCGATGGCGCGAAAGATTGTTTGGAAAAGGACCCTATACTTTTAAGTAGGCCTTGGAAAATTAAACAAATCAAACAGCCGTAATTTGTAAATTATTCTGTTGTGTTTACATTCAGAAAGTGCAGTTTTTTAAATTTGTAATCTTTTCTAAAATTCCGATATTTAACCAAGAAGCATTAAATATGCTGGCGATATATTTTAAGTATTTTCAAAATACGACCATCGCTGCCCACATCTTCTATTTGCGTTATCTGAATCGACCACGAACCATCTTATACCGTGGTTTTAACTAGTTCTAATTTGGCTTGCATCTAAATTGGGCGGTCGGATCGTTGATTAATGAATATTCGCGTAAATTATAATAATTGGTCGAGGAAATGAAGTACTATTTAACACAAAAAATAAGCATAAATTTATTTAATACACCACCCTCACTTAAAATTAACAGTGTGTTCATAATTCTATTTATGCATGCCTGCCTTTACTGTGAAAGTAAATCTTTTTATAAACAACTTCGTTTTAACGTGTTTAAAAGGCAACATAAAATACTGTTTTCGCACTTTTGATTCAATGAAAACTTTCAGTTATGTAGTAGGTACGGAAGATTGACTTCAAACAGAAACATTTTTTTTTTCTTATTCAGCACTGCCAATTAGTTTCGGTCTTCATGAACACGCTTTTATAATTCATGCTTTTCGCTTGTGAAATGTGAAATAAATAGTTCAACTTTATAAATAATATCCTCGTATCATTGTGTGTATAATACACCGGAATTGAAACGCAAAATAAATTGGCATCCGGTATTAACCCTTTAGGCACAAATTGCTTTGCAGTTTCTAAATGAACAAAACGTACTATAAGGTACTCACCCCTGATCTCTCCATCTGTCTCTACTGTTGTTTCTGTCATCATAAGTATTCCATCCACTCGCATAACCGGTACTATACTCTGGCCGGCCTACTGCAAAGTAGTATCCCCGTCCACTGTTGTCAAATCCCGATGTACCTCTCGTAGTTTCATCCCATGGTCGATAGCCACTGTCACTTTTTACGTAGTATCTATCATCATTGCGATACCTGTAGCGATCGTCCTTATCGTACCTGTCTCTATCATTTCCTCGGTCGGGATAGTAGTAGTCGTAGTAATCTGGTCTTCTATCGTATCGATCCCTGTCGTACCGATCACGAGTGTCATATCGGCGATCATCATTATACCTCCTTACGTCATAATAACGTTTGTCATAGTCGTCATAATACCGATCTCGCCCTCGGTCGTCATACCCATCTCTGTAGTACCGGTCATCGTATCTATCGTACCGATCGTATTTGTCGTCGTATCTACCTCTGTATTCATACGGATATCTGTAATAGTCGCGATTGTAATAATCGCAACGAATGCAACGTTTCCCTATATTCGCATTTTCCCGTTCCCTCGCTTCTGCATTGTCTTCCGGCTTTATTGTTAATGACGACACTTTTTGAACGGATGAATCTGATCCGTACCGATTTGGATAATATTGAGCTTCCCTTTCTTCTCGTGGCTGTTGATTTAAATTAAATATATCTTCTAGTCTAGCACTTTGAGATTCCAGGATTATCAGCAAAAATATGAACACTCCACATAATAACGATGAAAGGGGGGCCTGAAAAAAAAGACGGTTAAAGAGGTTGACAAACTTTCGTTCAAACAAGGTTGGGTATGATTTTTGACGGCAGTTACTATACTGGATTCATTTTAAGAAGGTAGAGGTAGAAGGCATAGGGAAGCTTTGACCGTCACTGTGATTGGTTAAAACACGAGTCAGTATTACAAAGAAACATAAAACGGATGGTGAATTTTGTAAGGTGGTAGTTTATGTTGCCAACTCAACTGTCGAAGTGTCATTAGTCAAAGATTTATTTCTGTTCGCAGTGCTGAATATTTCTACTTTACAGTGATTTGGTGCCGTTTTATATTTTTCTTGTATGTGTTTATCTTCAAACACAGCGCCATCTACTACCTTCTTATAATGAATGCAGTATGTACAGGTCTAATATCTATCGTGTCGATTTTTCATGTTACCGTTGAATCTATCTGAGATTTCTATGGCAACAAAGGCATTGGAAGTTAATTATCAGACAAATCTAACTGAAACACAAAACACCGGACCTATGCACTTTTTTAGTGTAATGGGTTGTAACGCGTGACCGCTTTGCAATTTTAAATACTATTGTTTTTGAATTTGTATTTTGTTCAACATAGGGAAACTTACACGTATACCGCGTCATATATAGTACACGTGAACAAAAGTAGGTATGTCTAGAGATAAAAGCCATAAACGTGTGCGTTTCGAGAAAGACGCAGTCTGTTTTAGTAGATAAGACGCTCGGCCGACCGTGTTGCCAAGTCTAAATACCGCCGCGACCGAGAGGTAGGAACGCTTTCAGGCGTATGGTTGTCTATGTGTAAAAAACAAAGGCCTTGCTGGCTGCGGTCGGTTCCGTTTTCGGTTTTTCTAACGGGTGAAATACAAATAGCCAACGAAGCAAGCGAGCGGGCGAGCAAACACGTACTATAGACCATTCGCACCTTAGTATGCAGTATGGGGCTTATGGAGAAACAGTACATGCTTGCCAAACTTATTATAGGATCGATTACTGCACCGTAAAACGGTAGTTTAGACACTATTTATTACTTTTTAACCTAACCTCAGAAGTCAAAAAGGTAAATTAATAACAAGTTGTAATTGTTTGTCAAATGTGGCCGAGAACAGCTTGTATTTATTAAGTCCCCAAAAATTTACAAATGTACAGTATAATACATATTAGTCACTGGAATCGAATTGAAATTCATCGGAAGATGACTGCGACACTTGAATTATAAATTCTTCAACATCATCTTGAAGATAATCTGCTGCCCACATGCCATCTTCGATAGTTTTCACGTGATTGACATAATGTTGCCAATTTTGAACCGTAACTTGTGAATAACCCATTTTTATTAATTCTTCCATGTCCTTTATTTTAAATGTTTTGTTATTCATTTTGATATGATGTTTAACTTGAGCCCACACCATTTCAATGGGATTTAATTCACAATGGTATGGAGGTAAACGGAGAATCTCGTAACCTTTTTCTTGTGCAATAACATCAAGCTTATTTTTGTCGTAGTGATGCCGAACATGCGCAACAGAAGCCAGTAGGTCTCGTTTTAATGGATTTTCTTCAATCGGTACATTTTTCTCACGAAGCCAATCTATAATGTGTTCTTTTCTCCACGACATTGTTGGTATCTTCTCCAACTTTCTACTGTGGTACGAGGCATTGTCAATAACAATGACTGAATTCGGTGGCACATTTGGTAGAAGCTGTTCAAAAAACCACTTTTCATAAGTGTCTGCATCCATTTCGTTGTGTGCATCAGCAGTGTTCTTTTTGCAGAGAAAAGTCAGTTCCGCGCCCGGAATAAAACCATTATCACCACCAGCATGTACTAACGCAAAGCGAGGCCCTAGACCAGTGGGTGATTTTAAACCTGTACTGAGTCCTTTGATGAATGCCTGACGATTGCTTTCAACGGTGGTGTCATGCCACGCCCTGCTCACCGAATGACCAATGTTAACCCATGACTCATCCGTATACACAATATTTTTACCTAAAATATAAATATTATGTAATTTGCAATTAAATATAATAAAAAGATTAAGCACCTTCTTCTCTCAACTTCCTGATGCGACGTAGGTATTTATGTCTCCATCGTATAATATCATCCCGTTCAATAAGGATACTCTTGCGGCCAACCTTCTTAAATTCAAAACCCATATCTTTCAAGAGATTGAATAATGTGGTGCGTTTAAAGTTGGGTAGATCGTTATCGTCATTTACGGAAGCTAAGATGCTGTTCATAGTTGGTGGAATATTTGTAATGAAGAAGTTATGCACTTTACGTCGAATGACTGATTGCACATTTTCATCATACACATGAAGACGATCATTGCTTTGTTTCCCTTTTCTTTGCTTGCGTTTTTTCGGGCTTGATACACCTTCGTTTCCGTCTTCCTTTTTAATGGCATAGATGCTCCGTTCAGAACAACATAAAGCTTTACTTGCTCCTTTCACAGCTGCAGTAACGTTCATCGTTCCCGAGAAATAGTTCAGCACGTTGATAATGAGGTGTTTCTCCTTCCGGCTAAAACACTCTCCTTTATGGCGTTTCACGTTAGCAGATCCTGCTTCAGCTTCGGCTTCCATTTAATGGGATATTCTAAAAAGATGAAATCAAATAACGGTTCTACAAGAACACTCAAAGTTACCTTGTATATAAAGTACGAGATGGAGGCGTTCTTAAAAGAACGATTTTTTTTAAAGCAATGAGACAATAAAATGTGTTAAATACGAAAGACAAAAACGAACCACACACGTAATGACAATACAAGAAGATTTGACGTTATATTTTGTTTTAAAGCTTAAATTCAATCATATGTAAGTTTGGCATCATTACGGTAAGGAATAAGGATAGCGTTATTGAAGAATGACGCAAATTAGTAAAGGAGGGATATAGTCCATAAGACCCCATACTGCATACTAAGGTGCGAATGCTCTATATATAGGTGAGAAAAAATTATTTCTGGCGTGCTTTACTGTGTTGTCCACGTCGCTGAGAAACATTTGTTTAATTCTAATTTATGACCAAAGGGTGAGTTATTGGCGACTTTACTTTTACGAGATAATGGGCAAGAGAAAACGTGCTGGTACCCTGAATTATTGCAAAGACATTTGATTCTGTCATACACGCGAAGAAACTGTTTCAAGTCGTAGTAGCGCTTTTCATCCTAAAATAACGATTAAATCAACTGAGTTGAGTCATTTTATAATGCATTAGTTTATAAATAAAGCTTCAACGACATACGGTAGAAAATTTAAAGACAATTAATTGGTGCACCTATTCGCAGCAAACACTTAATGAATTGGTCAAAATTAATATTAACACGGTGGAATATTGACCTTCTATTCCTGTGCATAAGCAAGATTTTAAGCATCATGTTCGAGGGTTTGAAGCAGCTTTGCTTGTATTCAAAATTTATACAGACATTTTTCAGTTAGATTTTTCCATTCAAAAAGGCGCTAACTTTGCCTGGGCGGTGCAGAAACTTCAGCTGTACTATAACAAACGATCTCTTTTCATATTTTTAAGTTGAATCTACCTTTTCCAACGAAAGATAAAATCAAATGTAACCTAAAGGTACTCTCATCCACATCAATAAGTTACTTTAAATTTTTTGTTTGTTTAAACTATATGTAGAGGTCGATTATGTTCAGCAAGTTGCAGACTATGCATACAAATTTTGTTTAATATTCCTAAACTAAGCGGTTTGAGGTCTTCCATTTTATTAATTGGGAATTTGCATTTAAATTCAGTGATAATACCATTCCTTTGGGTGGATTAATATTTTGTTTAGCACTCAGAGATGTTTTTATATTTTGAACAGCAGAATGTACCAGTAATTTATTATGTGTAAAAGACGAAAGTTTAGATAAGGATCAAATTTCGCATTGATACGTGATCACGAGATAGAAATTGCATTTTTTAATTTTTTTTTATGAACCTGTAAAGAGAAATGGAATTATTGGTTACAGCTCCGATTGAGTGGAGATTACATCCGTTAGGTGCGCTCTTAAAAAAACTTGAACTTTGACAACGGTCCCATATTTTTCCGATGTCGGAGAAAGGCGTAATTAATTAAAAGCAGTTTTAATTTTTTTGAACGTATCAAAGGTATTTGTTTGTCTAACGTATGGGTGGCACTCCCGTGTTACAGACGTCGTCTGATCGCATCAGCGGCCTTCTGCGTGACCTAACGACAGTCGTGGTATGACTGCCGAGACAGCGAGATTTACATGCCCTACGAAACATAGTAGTCAGGAGATGTTCTGTACCAGTAAAAACTGGCAAGTTTTGGGATTCGAACTCACTACCTGTGAGGTTAGAGTCCAAGTCATAAACCGTTATGCCAAACTGACTACTTATTATTATTACCTGTATCAAAGGTATAAGCGTACGAGACGGGAATTGCAGTTTGTCCCTACTCGAAATGCACGTTTTTTAGATAAATAGAAAATACACTATTAAATTTTCATTTTCACAAAGATGAAACTTTGTCAAATGTTGAAGGTGTGAGTACTGGGTGCAGTAAGGGTTGTCTGCCAGTCCTGTGTTGGTGCGTTTAGTGTGGGTGTTGTTTCAAAGATGCAATAACTGTTGGCTAGAGACAATTGATTTATAGCCGGCTTATTAAAACTAGGTAGTTAAAATAAAATGCAATTGTTGACCATATGTACGAAACAGTTGAGAATAAAAATACAGTTTCTTAGCGTTTCTGTCTTCATATAACTTCTACTTTAGTTTTCCAATAATTGCTTGTTCCTCCTGGGCCACCCTGTATTTGAAAAAATAATCAAGTTAATGGTGTAAACTAACAATCTGTTATTAGATAAATTAGGCTAAATGTTTTTTTGTGGTAATGTAAATTAAAAACAACGTTGGTCTATATTGATCAGTTATTGCCCATTCAAAATATTCATATTTTTATTTTTTTAAATTTAATTTAACCTTTATTTTTGAGTGGGCGTGGTTTCAGCCAAGGCTGCTCTACCAACCCAACCC